TTAACCCTTTGTCTACACCTGTCTTGCTGCCTGCTGTGGACTTTAGTTTGGGAGAATGGAAAACACAGACGGTAAGAAAACCATCCCTATCATTGGCTCTTTTAAGTCCTGTCTTCATCAGTTTCCTGTTGCTTCCCATGGAGTCTTCAAAATTCTTGAGCTTCCTATAAATATCTCACCTTCAGCTTAACCCCCCAACCCAATCTACATTCACCTATGATGATATCTTATGGATAAGATGACAATGTATTTGACAAAGAGATTTGAACCTGAACACCATGAAAAGCTAGAGAGAAAGCTCTATAGCCATGATTGTGAACTGTTCTTTCAACCTTCTTAAATTGGCATAAAGAAGTAAGATGGATCTGTCATCCACAGATGACACAAAGTTGGGAAGTACCACTAAAATACAAAAAAACCAGAATCAAGATTCAAATCGCTGAAATGCTAGGTCAAAAAGGTAAAGTTTAACAGAGATATATAAACTTCTACATGTGTAAATTAATTGAATAAAGTCCTATTCCAGCTTTCAGGACACGAAGCCCTGCTGCCATCATTTAAGCTTCTAACCCTAGCACTTCCTATGAAAAAGATCTGAGAACATTAAATTAAACTTAGTATATAAGATTACTAAAGCAGTTACTACATATATTTAAAGCTAGCAATTCTAGGCTGCTTTAGATGGTTAGCAATGCTGTGGAAGTATTCATATAGAACTCTATTCTTTGTGGACTAAAGTACTGGCCTGAGTATTGGACATCCCCTTCAATGCTAATTTATTAAGAGAGATCATATTAAACTAACATGTGTCCAGAAGGAAGTAGCCTGAACAGTATGAAGAATGGTTAAAACAAACAAAAATAAAAGCCCATCTGGTTAACTTAGGGAAAAGTGGTCTTATGATATAGCAAGAAGCTCTTTAGCCTGGAACTCAGGAAATCTGCTGTGTGGTTGCACTCAGATCAGTTGTATTTTCCACTCTCAAGATCCTAAGAATTCCCTTTCTTCCCTCAGTCAGGGAAGAAGAACTATTCCTATGGATACTGTATAGTCCCTTCTCTTTATGATTATTATGACAGAGCTCTCTTATCTATATTTAGTTTAAAAATCATATGGTTGTAAGGTTTTGTAGCAGGAAAAGATGTGCAGCACTAGAACCCAAAAAATAAAAGACATCATAGGGCAGATTTCAGCAATGTAAGAAAAAAATAAACTTTTCTGACTGAAACTAAGTGTAAGGCCAGGCTGGGTTAGTGGACACTGGAGTTAATGAAGCAGAGGCTGATGACCAATTTTTGGGAGACTGTGAAGGGATTCCTGTGCTGGGTGGGACCTTGTCCTGTCCAATTCTCTCAGCTCCTATGATTCATCCTGCTGGCTGCTCCAATGGGCTCCCCACCCACTATTAGCATGCCCTTTGAAGCAGTCCGCTTCTCTCTTCCATCTTTCCTAGGAGCAGACCAAGGCACAGGACATTCTGGGAGCAGTGACCCTTCTGCTAGAGGGAGTGATGGCAGCACGGGGACAACTGGGACCCACCTGCCTCTCATCCCTCCTGGGTCAACTTTCTGGACAGGTCCGCCTCCTTCTTGGGGCCCTACAGGGCCTCCTTGGAACCCAGGTAAGTCCTCAATCAAACTGTCCTTCTCTGACTCAATCCCCCTAGAAGACCTCAGGGAAGAAGGGGTCTCCTAGGGATCTTGAAGGTAGAAGAGTTACTAAGGAGGGCTACTTCCCAGCAATAATGTCTGGGTATTGGTATCCTATCTTTCCTACATACACAGGGGAGGCCTGATATCTGGCCCTGGTCTCTGGCCTCAGGCCCATCCTCTGCCCTCAGCTTCCTCCACAGAGCAGGACTACAGCTCACAAGGATCCCAATGCCATCTTCCTGAGCTTCCAACAACTTCTCCGAGGAAAAGTGCGTTTTCTGCTGCTTGTAGGAAGACCCACTCTCTGTATCAGGCGGACTCCACCCACCACAGCTGTCCCAAGCAGTACCTCTTTATTCCTCACACTGAACAACCTCCTAAACAGGACTTCGGGAGTGCTGGAGACAAACTCCACTGTCTCAGCCAGAACTACTGGTTCTGGACTTCTGAACAGGAGGCAAGGACTCAAAGCCAAGATTCCTGGTCTGCTGAACCAAACTTCCAGGTCCCTGGACCAAATCCCTGGATACAGGACACACAAACCCTTGAATGGAACTCATGGACTCTTCCCTGGACCCTCACTCAGAACTCTAGGAGACCCAGACATTTCCCCAGGAACATCGGAAATAGGCTCCCTGCCACCCAGCCTCCAGCCTGGATATTCTCCTTTCTTGACCAATCCACACACTGGACAGTACACACTCTTCTCTCCTTCACCTGCCTCACCTACTCCAGCAGTTCAGCTCCACGCCCTGCTTCCTGACCCTTCTGCTACCGTACCCGACTCTACCAGCCCTCTTCCAATTGCAGCCCACCCTCACTCCCAGAATCTGTCTCAGGAAGTGTAAGGTACTCAGGCACTGCCCACATTAGCACTGTATCTCACATGCCATTCTATTTCCTGGGGAGAGTCCTTGGGAGACACCTTCAGATATTCCAGATTACCTGATTTCACCTGAAACCAAAGCCCTGGAAAAGGGCAATAGAAAGGACAGGAAAGGGATCATTTTTTCATTGTACATTATAAATCTTTAGAAGCTATTTTTTTTTAAAGGTTATCAACAATATTCAGCAGAGCAGCTAGTTTTCTTTGGTGTATTTTCTACACAAATTTGTAGCTCATTCTCTATGTTTTCTCATAATAATTCTGCAAAGATCTGGGCTGACCTGGCCTTTGAAGAGAGGCTGAGACTAACCTTATGTCAGAAGAGAAAGGGTAGTTTCCTTTGCTTCAAGTTTAAGGCCTTCTGATGCCCCATGTCCTTCACTATCATTCTCAGTGGGAATCATTTGATCCCCTATTCTTTTTTTTTTCCCCCCTATTCTTAAGAGATACTTAACTCTTGAGAAATGAATAAGTTGTCTCTCAGAAATGCTGTCCCTATGCAATAGATAATACTGAGCCTGTATAATAAATGACAGCACTAAAAAGCAAGGGAGAGATGTTCTTCACATGGTACAATAAATCCCTGACACCCCTCCTCCTCTGCAAAAAAAGCTAACAGGAAGCCCTGGAGCGCCTCACACTCTAGGTAAGACTGTGTAGACAGTTCAGTAGAAGGAACCTGGATGTGACAGCTGAGCAAACAGCAGCTGCTCAGCAGGAGGCTTCACCAGGCACGGACTCCTGCCTCCCTCCTGTGGAGGTCAGAGGGAAGTGCAGGAAGTGGCACGAGACAGGCTCTTCCAGCTCTCGCAGGACAAGCCCAAGTCAAGCACCAAGTTGAATGCTCATTCCCACTTCCTACAAGTGCATCTATAAAGAGCCCAGTTGACCACTATAAACTCTGCTAGAAAAGAAGTCAGGTGTATGGGGGCTTTGCTGCTTTGGTACTCAGGAAGAGGTTTATGTTGCACAGAAACAAAAACTCCATGGCAAAAGTCAATCTACTACCTCTAGAGGTTCTTGTGGGGAAATGAGTGGAGGCTTTTTTTGTTCCATCCACCCCAGAGGAAAGAAAAAAAAGGCTACCAAATAGGAATCTAGAGTTCCAAACATTGCCAAATATCCCAGGGTCACCAAAAGCATTCCATAACAGTAGGATGAAAGCAAATGTGTCAGGAACTTTACATACGTTATCTTACACAACTCTGTAAATTAGGTATTATCATCCCTATTTCACAGGTGAGGCTGAGAGAAGTGAGGTGAGTACCCAATAGCTACACAGCCTGTGAGCAGGAAAAGAATAAACACCCTAGTCTGACCTCCTCTAGGGCCCATACTCTCCCCAGTGTGGTGCACTGTGCAGTAAATCATTCACAATTCTATTTACTAGGAAAAGATTTCCAAGTCCTTAGGGAGTAAATGCATCAACAATTAAAGAGATCTAAGTAGAAAACCAAAGTTCTTGGTGGGGGTGACCAATTTAGACACATACCAGTGCCCCTCTTTCATGCACAGAACAGTTACCATGGAGAAGGAATCAACAAATGCACAAAGCTCAGAAATGTTCAAATCTCAGATGGTGTCAGTTTCTGCACTGGAGAGAATTAGTTCATCCACACTACAAATTCCAGAATGTGGTCAAGGGAATGGTAAGCTGAAATTGTCATTTACTGAAATACTGAAGCAGGTTAAATTTAATGGTCAAATGAAACTTTAGGGCCCATGAAAGAGCCAGCACCTAGGACAAGATATCCCAAAGGGACCAGAGAATTACAGGTTTGCACAATCAGATGAGAGAATGAAAGGCAATACTGCAAAGGAGCAAGAAAGATCCAGACATCTCGGACTTACTCCAGTTAAGGGCAAACACAAAGATACTGATGGGCTTCTCCAGTGTCAACTAATTGCCTCAACTATTATGAATCTAACCCTATAAGCTAACGACATGATAGAAAAAAAGAATCTCATTCCCAAATAATTTTGTCTCGTTTATTCCATCTTTTCACACACAAAAAATACCCTTTTGCTATCTTACTACTTTTATCCCTTTCCAACTTTATACCAGTTCTCTCTTCTGTTTCCCCAGGGCAGCCAGGACAGTCTGCTATGATACCCCACACTATTACTGATAATTAGGTTCTTCCACTCTAACCTAAATCTATCCTTCTCCAACCCCCCCAAAAACCTGACCCCATGGAAAGGTTTAGGATTCCATAAAAATGCTGTACCTCTGTAGTATCTATCTCCTACTCTCCTGGACCCCCATCCCACCCCACCCACCTTTCCTTCCTCCCTGCTGAGGCCATTCACAGTCAACCCATTTCCCTTAATGCTTTTTCTAACACCTCATGTAAAGACCTGAAAATGATGGGGAAAGGAAATACCCCAGGCATCCCAGCAGGGGCAAAACCTGGAGATCAAAAGCCACAACTACTTAATACACACAGAGAATCTTTCTAAATTGTTACCCTGAATTCCTTAGGAGGAAACAGAGTTCCATATACTTTCTCAGAGACTTCTAATGCCAGGCTGAAGAGCCAGCTCACATGCTGGAGTCCCTGTATTCATCACCACTTCCTTAACTTTGTTTCTTTCTCCACTTATAAGTTAGCGACTGTAGTCAGGCTGCTGTATTGTCCTGGCTCTGGCAATGGACCACCAACCTCATTGGTATTGCTGCCCTGTCCACTTCACTGGTCTGTGCAGCAGCTCTGTTCAGAGTCACTGGGAAGAACCACCACCACTTGCCCTTCCTCCCAGGCCACCACTGAATGGAGCCAATTCTTCACCTGTTTCCATAACCACAAAGTCTTCCCTTCTCGCTCTCTTCTTAGTCATGCTCCACGTCTAAAAGCCTCTACCCAAAGTGTCCATAAAAATGATGAATATTCCCAAACTATGTAAGTGACTCATTCACGTCAACGTGAACTGACTTCCTAAGAGACTGAAAGTGTTGGAAGAACATGAGCAAGACTCTTTGCCAATTCAAAATTTTATGCCAAATGGGTGGTATCTTCCGGACCTAGGGTACCCTCAGCAGCCAAAAGCACAACACTTTCTCCCAAATAGAAAACAGCATTGGTGGGCAAGTGGTAGGAACAGTCAGCCAGAAGACTCAGATAACCCTGAACCCAGATACCAAAAGGCTGAAATAGATCCTATGTTGACATATGATCATCTGGCTGTGGGCCAGAAATAAGATATCATAGACAAATTAGAAAAAAGTGATTTTAAAGTAGTTTTTTAAAGGGGGGACAATCGGAAAAAGTAAAGTTTAATCAAAAAATCACATACATATGACAACTTCTTATTCATTTTAAGCTCTTCCACTGGGTCTTTTACAGGCAAGTCAGTTCCCCACTGAGTCCAGATCAGCTAAAGATGCACCCTCAGGAGAAAGGGAGCCAGCTTCTCCTTATCAGGTGAACAACAGCATTTGTTACTCAAGCTTGACCAATGTCCACAATCTGAGTGACTGAGCATCAAGGCTGGCTTTCCTCGAGGTTCAGAAGGCCAGTTTCTTCATTAGCAGGTAAACTCTGGAATCCACTTCAAATCCATGCAGGTTGTTGGCATCACCCTGCAGCCTCATGAGCAGGCCCCCATAGGAAACGTAGGCAGACCTGAAACAGAAGGCCCCAGTCCCATGAGTCTGCGCTCTGGAACAGCTGCTACTCAGCAGTTCTCCATCCCAGCTTAAGAAAGAAAAGAGGCACCCTTCTAGTGTTTTCTCCTAAAAAACAAATTTCAGACAAAAATGAAGGTGCAGGTACACACAAGGCAATGTTCTTTATATTAGCAAAGGTGGAAAACACTTACATGCCCCAAATTAGGGAAATGGACAAATGAATTAAGATATTTACTGAAATGTTATACAGCTATTAAAATGTTTAGGAAAAGCTTTAAAATTACATGGGGGGG